TCTTTCCCTTAGTGCCTTAGAGCTTGTGGGGTGGTTACCAAGGCCTGAATGTTTTTTTTAGGCCCAGCCCAACGAACGAGGCAGCATAAAGGACTGCAATACTCCACAGAACATCCCCCGAGAGAGACCCTACACTCACCCCTGAACAGTAGCACACTGCCCGGCTAACAAGACTGCTAGGCACTGTTGGAATTGTTGCTTTGCTTCTCAGAAAATGGGAAGCAGCAACTTTTAACTGCCTTGCATGCAAGACCTGCAGCAGTGCTATATACCCGTCACACAGGAAGAGGAAGACTTTTGGGGTTTTTTTTAAATCATCTGTGTTTTCGACGCACGTATGTCTGCATGTTTGAGTACAGACATGCTTAACACCCCTGCGTGAATGCATGCTGCTAGATACAGGCAGAGGCTGACCTCCAGGCCTTCCTGCTGGGGGAAGCTGATGTATACTCCACACCCGGGTATGGACCAAACCTCTTATTTACAACTTTTGAGCCAAACATGGCATGGCAAAGCACACTAACTCTCCAACCGTTATTTGAGTTTAGCTATTTGGTGGTCACAGTATAGCTGCTTTGAGCCTGACCTCCACAGCTAGCACACGGGTACACCATTCACATTATGCAGGTCCAAAAGGTCATAAACTTAAGCCTCAAGCTTGGTCCTAAAGAAGCAGAGAGTCTGAGAAATGTGATACAAGGCTGGAGTAGCCGCTGCACAGACAGAGCCAAAAAGAGTTTCACCATTCCTGACCCTTGATGTATCTGACCACAGAACATATGGAAACTAACCCCAGTTATGAAGACAACAGTGTCATTTACTCCTTTCTTCCTTCTTTTTGTTAACAGTGCACCCTGTTTTGAAAGCACCGTGCTTAAATTAACTTGAGAAGTTGTAGACAAAACCACACTTAGTCTCTCTTGGCCAGATTTCATTTCCGTGATCCATAAAATACCCATAAAAGAGATAATTTATTTTTTAAAGTACTGTCTCTCTTCAAAGTAATGGTCAAGAAGAGGTATTATCAAGCCCTGAAGTAACTTACTCATCTGCCTCTCAGAAAAGGAGCTTCTGATGGGAGAACTGCATCTTTACCAGAACACAAACCCACTACAGAAATGCTAAATGCACACAAACACCTCAGACCAGTTATCAGGCAACTTATTGTCCACATCCTAAGCAAAAGCAAACACAGTCTGCTAATTTAAGTGGATCTTTTACCAAGACCAGGAGGTCAGAAAAGGAGTAGTCCTTTAGAAAGTGAGTGGAGAAGTTCACTGAAAGAAAATCTCATGGTACCTCCTCATACCCCCAGGTTAGGCTCTTCCTTGGTTTCGGCGACTGTTCGGGGACAGCCCCCGAATACAATTGTTTATACTTACATTTTCCCCCAGACCCCTGTTATTGGCCACTGCCAGACAGATGATGGACTAGATTTATCTTCAGCTTAGCTGGTACAACTATTGTGTTTTCTTAAGGTGTTGTAACACCCTAGACCACTTTTTAAAGGACTTAATGGGGGAGAATATGGCTATTACATAGAATAAAGCAGGAATAAAGGATGACATATTGTTATCAGTTGTCAATGATGACAGCATAAGGCCGGCTCTTAAATTGATGTAATAGTTACAGAAAGTGTAACATTTAATACTTGAAGGGTTTTTGCCACAGAAACATAAGCAAAACCTGCCCCCATCAACAGGACTGAAATAGGCCATAGATGGATCATCTAGAGGAGAAAGGGTTTAAGTGTATCCACTTGACTTTCCTCTGATTACGTTTGTAGTTCTGACAGTGTTTATTAGTGACTTGGAAACAAAGCGAACGAGTGAGAAGGCACAATCGCCACTACCACTCCATATGCCACCACTAGTCTGAGCCATTGAGTGGGGAGTGCCTCTGCAGATGCTGCTCTCCAACGATTACTTTTTATAAAGCTTACCTTTATGTTTGCAGTACTTCCAGACATAGAACAGACATAGCTCCTCACATGTATCATCTTTGTTGTCCTTCGAATCTTTAGCAGAGGAATTGTCTTTTTTATCTACAGGAAAGAACACATCAGTCCTTATTTGCCCCACCAAAATACAACTCTAAGAGAAAGACACTGCAATTGGTATTTCATCCCAGAAATAACAAAGAGCTGACTGCAGTAGCCAAGTCAAGCACTTTCAGGATCTGACTATCCCCTGTACAGCCCACCGCATGAGTTAGGGCTTTGACTGACCCATACACCCCTACAATAGAAGGCGGCTCAGTGGAGATGGCCAAGGGCGATGTCATGAAGCTCAGAGTGACGCACAGCTGCAAAGAAGCTGACTTTGTCTCAACACAAAGGGGACCAGAGGGTGGCCTTGGTTGTAGATAAATGGCTATGTCAGCTGAGTAGATCAACTGGTGGTATAAGTGTTTCTCCCCGAGTTAGCCAGATCGGCATGGGGGGAGTGAGTATGGGGCTCAGCGCAACACAGCAGTATAAGACCCAAACAACTAACAAAAGAATTTTGAAGAGAGCAACAGGCTTGAGCTGGCTTCAACCCACATATTCCTTCCCAGAGATTGGGGACACCCAGCGTTGTGACGGCGAGCACATTACCAATGCGATTCCCGTTACAGATCTGTATATTGTGACTGAACTATGTATTGCAATGGCTATGTTTTGGTAAGCTTAACTTTTGTATTGTGTTTTCAATGTATTTTGCATCACTCCGCTACATCAGAAATGTCATTGTACTGGGCCTGGCTAGGACAGGGTTAATCTTCTTCATAGCAGCTCATATGATGTTGTGGTTTAGATTTTTGACCAAAGCAATGCTGATAACACACTGATGCCCTAGCTTTTGCTGAACAGTGTTTGCACAGCATCAAGGCCTTCTCCGTTTCTCACTCTGTCCCCCCAGCGAATAGACTGGGGAGTGCACAATAGGTTGGGAGGGGACACAGCCGGGCAGAGGACCCAAACTAACCAAAGAAATATACCATACCATATAACGTTATGCTCAGCAATAAAAGGGAAAAGAGGGAGTTTTAGGAGGGCTAGCCATCTTTTGCTCGGGAACCGGCTGGGCATCAGCCTGTCTGTGGGACGTGGTGAGTGATTCCGTTTGGCTCACTTGCTTTGCTTTGTTTTCTTCTTCCTTCTTCCACTTACCCTTTGCTTCCTCTTCCCCCCCCATCTTGATCCCCAAGTTTTCTTGCTTTTATTCTTTCTTTCCTCTTCCCCTGTCCCACTGGGGATCAAGGGGAAGTAAGCAAGTGGCTGTGTGGTCCCTAGCTGCCCACCAGGGTTAACCCACACCACCTGTGTAATATCAACTATCTTCAAATAAGTAAATTTGATATTAAACATTACACCTTCCATGCATGGAATATCTAAAAGAACCTGTTCAGAGAGTATTGGACTCTGACAGGCTTTAAAGCCTTTATTTTTTTCCAATAAATTTTCTCTTGGCTTGTAGTTGTGTACTGAAAGCACAGAAAGGATGATGGGGTTTAGCTGTGAGGTAAGGCAAGAACGGCTTCTACCTCTATCAAACTCAGAATCCTATTTAAACTCAATGTTTCTTACAACTTACTTCTCCCCTTCTTCAGTTCCTCGTTGAATTCCACATGTTTGTGATCATCTATAGCCTGGATGTTTGAAGCTATGTTCGCATCAATGCCTCCAGTTTCCAACACTCTCAATGAATGGGTATCCAAGAGATTATGGGACCTGTTGCATGGAACAAATCTACATTCCCCTTGGAGAAAGTGTCGACAAATATGAAGCTTGTTACATCTGTTTTGCTGGCTGCAGGTACCATTCTTTCTGTTGTAAAGCTGGCAGACCTAGAAGTGGGGAGGATTGATACAACATGAAATGGAAAAGCACATTAGAATCAGTAATTTTTTTCTTTGTTCTATAGGCATACAGCTTTAACTACAGAAAAACCGCGACTAAAAAGCATGTGTTCATTGTGACTTCTTTAATCCGGACAGGTTTCTTGCATGGAAGAGCAGGCATTTTCAGCTGACTTATGCATTTTCAGTTTTGAAGTTCTGCAGAGTTTTTTTTCCAAGAAAAAGAAAAGCCAATCCAACAAGCATTCATTTTTGGCACTCCTAAGCAAGACAGTTACATAACAACTGACTGTTTTAGTTATTCTATTAAAAAGCAAAACAAAAAAAAACAAACTCCAAAACAAAACCATAACATAGAACAAGTGTCTCCATAAAAACATATATACTGTGTCAAATGAGGTATTATTTCATGGAGCTGAAATTGCATTTGCACTTCCTGTTTGTAAAGCTTATTCTGCATCGAGGACTTGGGCATCTAAAAATGATAAGAATGCTTTGAGATCAGAGTACATATGGAAAAAGCAATGCCCTTCTTTATTCCTCTGCTCACCAAAAAGGAGATATGCAGTGAATTGGACCCAGGGAACAAGTCACACACCAAACACTCCTTCATTGCCCACCAAGCACCACAGCAACACTTCTGCTCCTGCAGCACAGAGAAGCAGCCCGTAACAAGAAAGCTGCTTTGAGGAGGACACGCAGCAGTCTGGCAGACAGCCCCAACATCACACCAGAACTGCCACAGATCTCCTCCCAACCCCTGTTCCAAGCAACAGAGACAGTTTTTATGCTGTGTTGCAACTGAATATATATAGATTTATATATCAACTAGGGAATTAGAGATTGCTGGGATGGCAGTGTTTAAAAGACTGAAAAATCAGGCCAGTTTCAACTGCAAAACAGTTCTTTACTGAATTCATATTCATTAACAATACCCATTGCCAAAGGCGAGTTCCTCATCGCCATCAGTCAGTATCATGTACAGAACAATGAGCCTTCACAAACTTACTCTAAATTAGGTGGGAGCATACAAAGCCATGGAACCGATGCAATTTCAGTGAGCACTGATGGCTACCATCCTTGACGGTTCTTAGCCTCTGAGGGAAGCAGAAACCAAAGGGGGTTGTCTTCCTTCTTCCCCATCTTCCCTCTGTCATTGTGGATGCTTTATGCTTTTCTATCCCTAACACCCCAAAGAACGCTCTCACTTGCTTTTGACATCTTATTTTTGGGATCTGGACTTGTTCTGGTTTTGCTTGCTCTACTGTATTATTCTGCCTCCATCACATACCCTTCCTGCCTGCTCTGCAGGATTTTAGTTTTACCAGGTATCTTGCAGATTTTACTTCCACATGTTTCCCTGCACCCTGTTTATGCAACTATATCACAACTTTCCATTTACCCCCTTGCAATTATGGCTATTATTTATATATTTAAGCTCAGCTGCATCACAAAATGCTATCAGCGGTGTTACAATCTGTTAGGTGCCCATGCAAGGTGCTGGCAGCAGGGGTGGCCTCTGTGAGAAGAAGCCAGGGGCTGCCCCATGCTGGGCACAGCTGGCTCCAACAGACCCACCACAGGACACAGCCGAGCCCATCAGCCAAGCTGGTGGCACCTCTGGGAAAACGTATTTAGGAAAGGGCAAAACGTCACATGGTACTGAGGGGGGTGGTGGGAAAAGTGTGAGAAACAGCCCTGCAGACACCAAGGTGAGAAGAAGGAAGGGGAGGAGGTGCTCCAGGTGCCCGAGCAGAGATTCCCCTGCAGGACCACCTACAGCTGGTTGCCCAGGACCACGTCCAGATGGCTTTTGAATATCTCCAAGGAGGGAGACTCCACAACCTCTCTGGGCAACCTGTGTCAGTGCTCAGTCACCCTCACAGTGAAAAAGCATTTCCTGATGTTCAGAGGGACCCTCCTGTGTTTCAGTTTGTACCCATCACCTCTGGTCCTGCCACTGGGCAACACTGAAAAAAGCCTGGCTCCGTCCTCTTTACACCCTCCCCTTCAGGTGTTTGTAAACATTGATGAGATCCCCTGAGCCTTCACTTCTCCAGGCTAAACAATCCCAGCTCTCTCAGCCTGTCCTCATGTGAGAGACGCTCCAGTCTGTCCATCATCTTAGTGGCTCTTCACTGAACTCCTTCCAGTAGCTCCATCACTCTCTTGTACTGAGAAAATAAATTTTGGAAAATTAATTTTGGACCTATTTTCAGCTAATGTAGTGGGTCACTGTGGAAGACATAATGAAGAGATAGTGACTTCTGGCAAATCTAGGCAGTTTACTTGTAGGCCTTGGTTGCAGAGGCCCCTACGTTATCATTAGTGACAGCCACATAATGGGAGCACATACCATGCCATTAGCATTAACTGCCTTTAACAATACAACCTGTAGTACTGTTTGTAAGAGCTTGTTCCTATAGAGATGCATAAGAGCATAATGCTGTCAGTGAACCTCAGTGTACCATCTAGAACATTCAGTTTTATATAGATAGAAGACCAATAGCTTCGGGTTTTTTTCCAGAAAAATACTATAAAGATGTGAAGAACAGCAAGGGTGCTGAACCTCACCACAGATGGGAATTCTGCACGGCAAGCCATCGTCCTACCAGAAAGGTCTGTCTGTTACTGTATTGTCATGGTTTCCACGACATCAGAAGGGACATATAAGATTTCTTCTCATTATAACCTTTAGTAGTAACTAACTATATTTATCTTAAGCATCATGTGCCTTTCTTAGTGAGATCCAAAAGTACCAGCACCTGCCAATGAAAAGCAATTATTCAGCTACTCCAGAATTTTGGGTAAGTCACTTCGTTTTTCTCTCCTTCATTTTCCCAACTTTGTCTGAGGGGAATGCGGAAAGGCTTATCATCTACAGAGCACGCTAAGATCTATGTATCAAGAACATATGCAAGTGCTAGGTAATGACAAACAGTCTTCTGGGAGATGCTTTGCGACTTCAGTCACTAAAGAACTCAAATCTTACACCACTGCCAAGGGATGGTCTTCCTCAGTTGAAGAACATTGCTCTATTTTGGGGGACCGATACCACTCAAAGTGTTACCTTCATCTAAAATGTACATGCCTCATCTGAGTGCCTACCTAACAAGAAAAATAAGTTAAGCCTTTAAATATGCAGCTTGTTTTTCCATCCCTCCAAGTGGGGATAACTGTTCAAGTTACTGAGCTGGAAACAAACAGTTAGTCCAACATTCACCAGAGACAGACAATCAAGCACAAACTAAGGACTGTGATACACACTTATACAGTAGTCCCTTGGTTCAAAGGAGTAATACAGTTCGCTGGATGTTTCTAGAAAAACTTAAAATCACTGCTTTCTTAATAGGTCTTTCCCCAACCCAATCTTTCCCCCTTAACTTCGATATCCTCTCCTTTCTAGGAACTTTCTCCTCCAGGAATACTGCTAATCAAAACCAGAAGTGGAGAGCACAGTTTGTCACGCAGCCTGAAGCTGGTAGTAGAACTACCAAAAAAAGAATAAGGCTTATGTCAGACACTGGTTTTGGGGGCCAGAGCATAGGAATTGCTTTCGTGCTTGCCTCTTCCTGCTCAAGAGAGTAGGGAAAAAAAAAGCAGCTAAAATACAAAATCGGGTAAAAGCTGAGAGAGTACTAAAAATACAAACATTTTGCATGGAGCATCCATTACACAAAATATCACTTCAGGGTAGCGGACAAACCAGCCACTTAAGTTACAAAGTGAAACTCCCAGAGATTCAAAGACACTGAATCGGTTGAGGGCAATTTTATAGAGCATCTAGAGGAAAATGCATTAAAAGATGATGTTAGTATGCCAGACAAAATTTTTACATGGGAGCATCGGAATAAACTACCAAACCAGAACAAAGTGCTGCCTCAGCAAAACAGGGAATCCACTAATTAGCTAAATCAAGAAAGCTCACTGCCCCTTGCATTTGCAAGAAAAAAAAAAAAAAAAAAAAAAAAAAAAAAAAGGAGAGCCAGAGAGAAGATGAGGGAAAGTGTAAAAACCCCTGATTTTGGGGTGCTGTTGTATTTTTCTTACCCTGCACCCCAGTTCAGGTCACAGAAGACCAAAGTTTCCTCTTGCTCGAGAGCTTCATACATGCCATTTGTCAGCACACACAGAGTCAGTCAGCATTTCTAAGCAAGAAACAGCCAAATTGGCTTTCACATCCCTCCCTCCAGCTCTCAGGTTTATGAATGGCCTGCATCAATCACCGTTTTCCATTGTTTCTGCTATTTTACTCCATAATAGAAGTTAAGGTGCTCAATTAGAAGTAATTAACGATGCCTGCCAGTGGCGAGGGCTGAACAGATCTATAGATAAGAGCTTAACAGTAATACTGATCAATGATGGTTGCTACTATCTGCTCATTAATGGGAGTAATTAAACAAGAACCACTTAAGTTTTAGATGCCGCTGAGCAGGACAAAGATATTACTAACCCTCATTGCTCATCACCACCATGCTCCTTGACTCTGCCAGCACAACATATTTTAAAATACTACCAAAAAAAAAAAAAAATCTATTTTGTCAAAGCCCAGCACTATCACAGCAGGGAATAAGAAAACAAGAGAACTGTTATGCCAACAGATCTGTGGAGATTATAACCTCCAAAAGACAAGGGTAACAGGAAGTACTCTGGTAATTTCCTAACCAGGAACAGCTGTAGCCAGAACAGGATATTCTTGGCTTTGAAACAGCCATACCTTGAAGATAGCACTGTCCTTATACACGCATGCAGAACCAGAATGGATTGTTCAGCCAAATTTAACAAAAATCAATGACTTGCATACAAACCGGACAAAGGTTGCTCCGTAGAAAAATAGTGTACAAAAACTCAGTGCGCTTTGGAAGGGGCAGATTTTACACAAAACTGACTGCAGTCATTTGGTCATTTTCTCATAGATCTTTCTCACTCCCCTAATACCCTCAAGCACCAAACTGTTCAGGCCTACACAGGCTGGAAAATGAAAGGGGCCCTCGCTTCCTAGTCTCCATCATCTCTTGGTGGTTTTGGGTCAGGCCTTTTATCCTGTAAGTGTGTACAACTATTGCGATCTTTCACCTCCATCTTGCTTACCTCGCCGTCTGTAAACCTCTGGTGAAGTTGCTGACTTTTTTTGTTTGCTTGTTTTGAGTAACTTTATGGCTATCCTATTGGGATTACAGGAAAGGCACGCAAAACAGGCTGTAGTCTTGCTGCCTGCTTCCTGCTGTCAGACCTTCTGCTGACAAGTCATAGATGACATGGCCTTACCAAGGTGCAAGCCTTCTGGTATTTATGTAAGCAACGCACTCCTCAGTGTTTAACAGTTTTATTGCTGGGGTTTTGTTTTGGTTATAAGTACAGGGCCCTTTTACAACCCTTGCTCCATATTGTTTCTTCTGGTGCTTTCACACACAGTCATTCCCACTCATACTTCATTCAGACTAATCTTGATATTTCTGTTACATATCTTAGCAGCTTGAAATTGAGATCATACCTCCACCTTCTCTCTTGCCCTCTCCCATTCCTAATTAACAAAAGCTTCTCGTAAGAGATCAGTACTACTCACATCAGGGAGGAGGAAAGGATCATTTTGGAGAAGCAGTACCCGCAGCTCATTCTCATTGAGGCCAGACAGCTCATGAGTCTTTAGAACTTTTTTGTTCTCAGCGTTGATGATGTTGTGAGAGTACTTACAAGATCTGCAAGAAAATACACAGAAATATCAATGTTTACTTTTTCAGTCAAGTTGATTTAAAGAGAACCTCAGATAACGTTGAGCTTGGGAAAAGTCATGGAGAGAAAGGCAGTCTGGCAAAAGTCCCTGTGAACATTTAGATGGTCTTTGTAATTAGCTACAGAATGGACCAAACAGCATAGTAACTCTGTGAAATACATTAGCATTATTATCCCCATTTTAAACACCGATGTGGCCAGACCACTTCTAAGAAAGCTAGCAGCACAGATTTGAAGGTAAGTCTGTCTACCCCACACTTTCTTCCACTCCGGCAAGAGGCAAGTTAAGTCACACCATCTGAACAGCTGGAGGGAAAGCTAATTTTAGAGGAATACATCAACAACGGTAGAAGTTGCAACACCCTCGATTTTATAAACATAAAAGGTTGTTGTCCCAGGGATGGCACGTAAACAAAGATGCAAAAGTCTGAGAGTGCAAAACAAAGAAATAATGAAGCTGAAAACAACACAATTTGTTATCTTTGCTGGCTGGGAAGTTAAAAAAATTCCAAGAAAGTTCATTAACTTCTGAGTTTTGGATAAAGAAGCGATTAAAGGAGAATAACGAAGATGCTGGTGCCACTTACTAACACAAGAGAAACGTCTGAAGTGAGTATGAACTACAGAGAGAGAAAGATTGCCTTTTTTCTGCATCTATTTGAAAAGATACTGCAAATCAATAATAAGAGGATAAACATAGTCAACCTGTGCATTAATTCAATACAGTAAAATCCAGCTTCCTTATGTCTTGCTCTTCAAAAGCATGATTTGATACAACCTTAAGACTAGACATACTCAACCAATAAAAGTACCTGTTAATCTATCAGACTCAAGCCTCTGTTCCCTTTATCCTTTTAGCTTCTAGTTAACTCCTGAAACTCTCCTCGTGAAAGCTGTGTCTGATCCAATCCTTATGTACAGACCCTTCTGTAGACGTTTCAACCCTGACCTCCGCTACCTGCTGGACACATTGCTTTGTAAGCAAATAAACAAGAATGCAAAGTCTGAAGGGCAGAAGTACGCCATCTTTGGTCCTGAGAAACGATCTTCTAAGGATACTAGATTCTGTAGACAATTAATGGCTAGGAAGGTAGGAGAGCTACAGAGTATTCGAGGTGGGAGCCATCACCAGCGCTCCTCCACAGTTAACTACAGATTTCCTCTGACAGTCACACAGTGATCTACATCACTTGAGTACATATTTCGAAGTCAAAGGCTGAAACAGTCCATAAATACAGCTGAGTTTAATAACACATTTAGAAAAAAAAAGCTGTGAAAAGTTACTTGCCAGACACAAATTAAAAAGCCAGGGTTTAACTGGACTAAAATCCTGATTCCACTAAATAGGGAGACCCCAGTAACTCGCACAGATATTTTTCTTTCCAAAAAATCTAAACCAAAAAGGATGCAAGATCTGGAAGCAAGGCTAGTGTCATGGTTTAACCACAGTCGCTTGCTCATCCTCCCCCCCGGTGGGATGGGGAGAGAATCGGAAGGGCAAAGGTAAGAAAACTCATGGGTTGAGATAAGAACAGTTTAATAATTGAAATAATAATAATAATAATGATGATGATGAAGAAAAGGAAAACAACAAAAAAGAGAGAGAGAGAAACAAAACCCAGAAAAACAAATGATGCAACCGCTCACCACCCACCAACCGACACCCAGCCAGTCCCCAAGCAGCAATCGCTGCCCCCCAGCCAACTCCCCCCAGTTTATATACTGAGCACGACGTAATATGGTATGAAATAACCCTTTGGCCAGTTTGGGTCAGCTGTCCCGGCTATGCTCCTTCCCAGCTTCTTGTGCACCTCCTCACTGGCAGAGCATGGGAAGCTGAAGAGTCCTTGACTTAGTATAAACACTGCTTAGCAACAACTAAAACATCAGTGTGTTACCACATTATTCTCATGCTAAATCCAAAAGATAGCACTGTACCAGCTACTAGGAGGAAAAGTAACTCTATCTCAGCCAAAACCAGGACAGCTAGATTTTTACCTTATCAGTTAAAAAATATTCTCTGTCTTGATCCACATGGCCCATGTAGCAGTATTTCTGCCCCCTCATTTTAATCAACCCACGAAATTTTAATCAACCATTTTATCCCTCCCACGAAAGGCATACTCTTCCTTTTATTAACACATACAAAGGTGATTTTAAATACTTAGTGCTATTGAGAGGACAGAATGGTTTATCAATACAAAGGGAATCACCTCATTGCACGTTTTAGTTCACACGGAGTTATCCAGTGCAAGTGCCTACATGCACTTGAAGGTATTTCTATCAATGGATCACAAGGAAGCTTATCACACCATCAGTAAAGCCAGAAGCATTAAGAAAATCTTAGCATCCCAATACTTTGCTAGTACCATTCTGAGATAGACGTGGCCTTTCCCCTCCATCCTCTTCAGATCCGAGCGCACAACGAGCTGTTTCGCTGGGGCAGAAGAGGAAGAATCTAGTGGGGTATCAGCCCATTACTAACACTGCTACAGTGCAAGACCCGGGGCTTCGGGGCTTAAACTGCAAATTCTGGATTTCACTTCTACATTTGTTTTCGGTTTCCTTTATTGTTACGTTTTTAAATAGGTACAGTCTTTGGCCCTCCTGCGCCTAGAGAGGCTGCCTGGCCTACCCTTCCTGCGAGTCCTCCGTAATTTCAGAAAGCGGGGCTGATGTACATGGGAAATCAAACACTGCCTCTCCCAGAAAGGGCTGTAAGCACAGCAGTGACTTACAGCAAAATTAAGCGTTCGTAACTTTCTAGTTTAAAAACCAGACAGCATACTAGCACTTTGCTTTTTCTTACTAGAGAAATATTTGTAAACTATTTCATCCAGATGCCAGTGTGCTGAGGGGTGCTGTGGCAGACAAGCGGCTTTAACAAAAAACCGTAATACTGACAAAGAAAGCCAGGCTTCAGAAAACTGCAACCTACCGCGGTCACTTCGGGCTTTTACCAAACCAGCGAGAACAGCAAACGAGTCCTTCGCGAGCAAGGAACGCCCGGTACGAGGCTGGACCCGAGGGGGGGGATCGGGCCTCTTCTCCTGCAGGGAGCCGGGGCAGAAGGGGCCGGGACAGGAGCGGCACCCCCGGGCGGAGCGGGGCCGGCC